TAATTGCTTGAAGCCGATGCGAATGAGGCGGGCGTGCAGGTACTGCTGCCATAGCCGCGGAGCTTGCTTGATCCCGTAGAGCGACTTTAGTAGCTGACAGACTTGGTTGGGCTCCCCGTTGGTACCGTGCGGTAGTTCCACGAAAATTTCTGCGTCAACGGGTGCGTAGAGAAATGCGTTCGCGACATCGATTTGCCGTAGCTTCTTTTTCTTCATGGCGGCGATCGCGAGAAGGATTCGGAGCGAAGTGTGTCGGCTGACCGGAGCGAAAGTTTCGGTGAAGTCTCGCCCGTGTTCTTGGTCGAAGCCGCGCACGACCGAGCGTGCCTTGAATTTGTCAATGGTGCCGTCGGCCTTCGTCTTCACGCGGAAAACCCATTTTCCGATGAGAATGGTTTTGTTCCGTGCTGCGCCGATGGGGACAATTTTCCACGTGTTGCGCTCCTCTAATGCCTTCAGTTCTTTGTCCATGGCTTCGCGCCATTTTTCCCTATGCTCCCCCCCCAGAGCCTGCTGAACTGTGGCAGGCTCCTTAGGAATGGCCGTGCCGTGGACTGCGGTGACGAGCCCGAGTATCTGGAGTCCACTCGGTGTGTAGCGGGGGAGTGACATGTCCTCGGGATAAACTGCTTCGTCTCCCGCTTCTGGATCAGGTGCGAAATTAGGTCCTACACGTTCTGCTTCGTCGGTGTTGACTTGTGTAGGTGTAACGTAACCGTTGTCAGCGAAATGGTAGTAGGCGTCGGCGTTGATGCTTTCGCGTGGGTTTTCGTCGTCCATTGGCACGTCAACGGAGCAGTAGGGGAGAGGTCCGGCTTCCTCCGAGGCTCCTTCCACGTTTTGCTCGTCCAGGTCAGCTTCATCTTCTGCCGAAGCGAAGGCTCGGTCCCCACGAAATCCACCTGTGACATCTCGTGAGGTCTCCAAGTTGTACAGGTACGACGAAAGAGTGAGTCGTTCGTAGAAAATGACGTCACGTGCTGCCACTGTTTCCTTTGAGTGGACGTCAAAAAACTTCCACGCGTTGTAGTTCTTTTCGATGCCCAGGTGTAGTCCCCACTGTGCCCGTTGTGAGAAACGGCCAGCGCGTGCAGATGGAGGTCGGTACTGTACCATGCAGCCGAAATTTCGTAACATTTTGGTGCTGCCCTGTTTTCCTGTCCACAGCAGATGCGGTGATGCGTTGTTCGGGAGCGATGATGACGAGAGCAAGTTGTGCAGCATGACGGCGTGGTCCATTGCTTCGGGCCACTGGTGGTTGGGTAGCCGCATGCCACGTAGCAGTTTGCGCATGGTGTTTTGAAGGGTCCTTTTCATTCTTTCTGCTACACCCTGCTGTTGATGGGCGTAGGGTAGAGAGATGAGCCGCTTGATTCCTCGTTCCGCCAGGTAGTCTTTGAACTGCTGGGACGTGTATTCTCCTGCTCCATCTGACTGGAAGCTCTTTAGTTTTACGCCTGATTCTCGTTCAGCTACTGGAAGCCATGCGACGAAAGCTTGGAAGGCCATGTCGCGGCTTATGAGGTTGAGATGCCAGACATAGCGCGTGGCGGCGTCGATGAACGTGATGGTGTAGTTGTATGCTTCTTGTCCAGGTTCGCGATTATACAGGATGTCGCTGTATACTTTCTCGAGTGGTGCGTAAGCGGGTGCGCTCGGGTTGTGGTGAGAGACGAAGGGCTGATGCGGTAAGTCAGCTTCTGGACAGGTGAAGCAAGTTCCTCTCATTCGTCGAAGTTCTCTGCCGTCGGGTAAGAGTAGTGAATCTTTGTCAAGAACGCCTGCTCGTATCGTGTTGTTTATCGTCGTGTTGCTTGGATGTCCCAGTCGCTTGTGCCAGAGATCTTCGTCAGCGCGATGTCCAGGTGAGCGTCGGTATTCGTCGGAGTTGGAGTAGAAGCTAGCGGTGAAGTTTGCGCTTCGGTGTACTTCTCGAGGTGTTGGATTCAGTTGCTGCGCAGGGGTCGGTGGAGTGTTGTCGTCGATCGGAGCTGGTGCAGTTGAAGAACCCGCGATTGGTGCCGATGTTGTCTCTGCTGCTGCTGTTGTTGTCTCTGCTGCTGCCGATGTTGTCTCTGCTGCTGGTGGTGTTGTCTCTGCTGCTGCCGTTGTTGTCTCTGCTGCTGGTGTTGTCTCTGTTGCTGCCGTTGTTGTCTCTGCTGCTGCCGAATGTTGAATCGTCGCTAACGCTCTTGTTCGTTCTGCTTCAGGAATGGTGTGCGAATACCAGAAACCTCCGGGGCTGAAGTCTGGATCAAGATCTGGTGGGTGTGTCCAGGAGGTGAAGGTGACGATTCCGTCGCTGTCAGCGGTGCCGAGGTCTGGAACGAAGTCGAGGACGAACACGTTGTTCTTCAGTACTGCCTTGCCGATGTAGAGGCCACCCTTCCCGTGGTACAGCTTGAACTCCTGTGTTGTGCTGTCTGCTTCGAGGTGGATTCCTTTCGCCATCAATTGACTGACGCTCAGTAAGTTGTATCCGAGCCCCTCTGCTATTAAAACCTTGGACATCTGTAGTATGACGTTTGTTTCTCGTGACTGAAGTTGCACTACGCCTTGTCGTCGTGTGCGCAGGTTCTGGTTGCTGGCAACGGTGATGACGACGTCTCGCTGGAGACGGTGTTCGCGTTGAACGAAGCGACCCGAGGAGCACATATGTTGTCCGCAGCAGCTGTCCAAGAACCAGGTGTCCTTCCCGGATGGCTCACTTTGGGCGATAGCTGCGTACGTTGGATTCGGCTCCAGTGTCTCGCGGCGCGGCGTCCTTTCGTCAAGAAGTCCTTCGGGTGAGTATGTTGGTGGTGATCCGGTGATGCAAGAGTCGGAGAGTCTCGCCATGCAGCTGATGATGTTTCTTGCTCCTTGTGCAGGTTGTCCTGTTGATGTCGTTTGAACTTGAGCGGTGGGGTTCGCCTGTGTTGAGGCGACTTGGCTGCTTGAAGGTCGAAGCTGTCGCTGTGGCGGTGTTGACTGTTGTCGAGTCGGGCAGTGTGTGCGCGGATGTCCTGACGTCTTGCAGAGATGACAAAACGGAGGTACAAGTTTTGGTTGATGCCGGTTGTTGTTGTTGTTGTAGCGCCGTTGAGTGTGAAACGCGAATTCTGGTACTTATGTTTTCTTCTTGTGCCGTTCCTCTTGCAGGTCCATGTCTTGCTGCTCGGCGTGGATTTCGGCGCAAAGTGCTGCTTCGGAGATCTTCCCGTGAGCTCGGAGTATGGCACGAGTGGAGCGCCAATGAGGACCAAGTCCAGTGATGACGACTGTGACGAAGGCTTCTTCAGATATTGACCCTCCGCATCGAAGGAGTTTGTCGCGCAATTCGCGACAGCGGCTGATATATGCCATTCCTTTTTCGCCCGGTTTCATCTCGACTGTTGTTAGTTGCGCCATCAACCGACTCTGATTTACGCTGTCTGTTGCTTGATACAGGCTCTTCAAGTGGCTGTATGCGAGTTCGGCGGAGTTGCCGTATCCCCGGTAAGACCGTATGTTCTGCTGCTGATTCGGAGTGATGTTCCTCAGTAGAACCGTGTACGCCATCATTGACTGATAGGTGTACTGCTGCTTGTCGTATTGTGTGCCATTTGTTGGATATGGCAGGGATCCGTCGAAGAAGCCGAGGATTTGCGCGCCTTCCATCATCAGCTCGAACTCGAATGACCAGGTAAAGAAGTCCTTTCCGTCGAAAGGTCTTGACGTTTGCAGTTTTAAGACGTGTGCGAACTGTGACTGAACTTGAAGTGCATCAAGTGTCTTCTCTTGTCCAGGTGCAGGCTGCGGTTGTGGCATAAAGCTGACGGAGCCGCGCTGGGGCTCGTACGGAGCAAAGGTAGGTTGCTGCTGTTGATTTCCTCGTGCGTAGGATGAACCATCAAGGCTCATTGGAGTCACGTCGTTGTTGTTATTCCTGTTGTTCGACTGCGCAGGTGCCGACTGTTGGTGTTGCTCGTAGAAGGACATGAAGGAGAAAAACTTCTCCATCATGCTCTGATCGAATCCTGCAGGTTGATTCGCAGGAGTCTCGGTAGAAGTTGCTCTTGGTCTTGTTGCCGTGCCCTCCTCTGTCTACAGGCCAGAGGCAGGAGGTGGAGTAGGAGTAGTACCCTGTGAGCCGTTAGAGGAGCTCCTTTCCTTTTGTGTTGCCATGCCTTCTGACGTTGTAGATAACTTGATAGTAGTCGAGTTCCCCCTGTTAGCTCTCATACCATGTTGGGCTGAGAAAAAGCCCTTAGGATCTTTGCAGGAGTGAACTCTAGGTAGGACTTGTTGTAATTAGCGGAAGCTTTTAATGAGAAGTGCTTGAACCACCTTGCACTAGTATGTGAGGGCAAAGTCGATTGATTAAAGCAAAGAGATACAAGATTATATAAGAGTACAAGGAATACGAAGAGACACGGTTGTAACTACTTTACTGTTGCTGTTGCGGTTCGATACAGTGACGACTCGGGCAACTGCTCTGTAGCGAGTCAGTTGTGTGTCCTGGCTGTCGTGCTGTACTTGTCAGGTCAAAGGTCGCTGACCTTTGACTTTCGTGTAACCTCTAGCAACTGCTCAACCTCCGAGGGTTGACTCGCCGGTGTTTCGATATGCTTTGCTTCGCTTCTGACTGGGTGTTTCGACACGACAGAGGCGCTTAGAACTACTTGTTTCCAACACATGGTACACACATTATTGTTACAAATGTACTTTGACACCATCTTCCTTTACTATCGCGCTCTCTATATGAGTGTAACGCAATAGTAGCTAGTGCGCATTCTCTATATCAGATTCTCTTTGGTGCCCTATAGCGTACCTTCGGGAATGAGAGTATAGCCTTACGGTTATTCCAACATACGGTACACATGGTAGAGAATTCTGAATCAATCGCCATAAAGGCAAAAAACACACCTGAATATTAAGCACACGGGCAATTTTAGTCAGAGGAAACCCTAACCCGCTCCCGAAGTTACAGTAAATGGCAACCAAACAAACAAACGATTGTGATTTATTGCAAGTGCGAGCTATGCAGCCCCTGCTCGTGCCTGCAGAATCGCCTGCCTAAGCCCCTCTTCCAGCTCCAGCTGAGCAGCAACAGCACCAGCACTAGCACCCAATGCCCCCTGACCTGCCACTGATCCTTTCCCCACTGCTGGCCCATGCCCCTCCACGGTTGCCCCTGGACCATGCAAGAGAGTGCTATGCCCATGGCCATGCCCGTACCCTTGTCCATGCCCATGAGCAGGAGAATTCCGCACAGCAGTGAGATCAGCTCTGCTCGCACTCACTGGAATGTCCACTCCCACACTTGCGCCTGCACCGGAACCCCTTACAATGCCTGGGCGTCCCAACCCCTCAGGGCCGGCAGCAGCACCTGCCGCTGCGCTGCTAGCAGGCCCGGCCTTGCTCGCCACAGGCACACTGCTGCCACTGCCTGCCGCACCTCCTGCACCAGGACCACCACCACCACTGCTGCTGCTACTGCCACTGCTGGTAGTACCTGATTTCTCCTTCTTCTCCTCTTTCTTGTCTCCTCTGCCCCTCCACCTGCCAAAGAGCCCTCCACCTTGCTTCTCCTTCTCAGAACCACCACTGCCCCCGCTCTGCGCCTTACTGCCAGCCCCCACCCCTGCAGGGGCCGCGCCAGCAGCACTTGGTGCAGGCGCTGCTGCTTTACCATCCTTGCCGCCGCCCCCACTGCCAGCAGCAGCAGCACTGCCACCACCCTTGCCTGCCTCTGCCCGCCCTGCAGCTGCAGTCGCGCCAGCCCCACCCTCCTTCCCTCCCTTCCCCTTCGTTTCCCCCACACCGCCTGCCTTACCGCCCTCCCCTGCACCGCCCTTGCACACTGCCGCCCTGAGTTCATCCACCTGCTGCCTCAGCCGCTGCCCCTCTGCCCTCACCCCCACCAGCTCACTCCTAAGCCGCGACACTTCCCCTTGCTCGCCCGCACCTCCCGCCCCTCCCCCCTGGCCCCTGCCAGCCATTCTCGGGCTGCCACCTGGCGGCACCAGCACAGGCCGGAGACCAAGGGGTCCAGATGGCATGAGAAGCAGCCGAGGCCCGACACCTGGCAGAACGAGAGTGGTGGGTGTGGGCAGGCTGGGCGGGCGGGTGGTGGTGATGCCAGCGCCTGTGGTAGCAGCCGCCGGGAGGGGCTGAGGTAGAGAGTCTGGAAGGGGTGGTTGTGGTTCGTGCATGGCCCAGCAAGCAGGGATGAAGCGGAAGGCGCCAGTACGCACGTCCACACTGATCTTATCCAGGTGCAGGGTTGGTGCATGGGCAGACGAGAGCCAGCCGCTGCTGCTGCTGCTTCGAGTGTTGGTGTTGGGAGATCCGGCTGGGGGATTTAGAGCAGGAGGAGGAGGTGGAGGGGAGGAGGGAGAGGGGGTGGAGTGGGGGAGGGTGAGACGCCAGCGGAGAGATGCCACTCCGTGAGTGCCAAGTGGCACGCTGCTGCGTACGCCGATTCCCCACCCTGCGATCCTCACAGCGTTTGCCACGTCAGCGGCAGACCACTGCCACGTCACATGCTGCCCTGATGCTGCTACTGCTGCCACGGCTGCAGCTGCCGCTGCTGTGGCAGCAGCCGCTGCTGCAGCAGCTGTAGGGGAGTGAGGGGGGCTGGGGGAGAGAGTGAGACGCTGAGACAGCACGCGAGCTGCTGGGACTGCTGCAGAGGAAGAAAGAGCAAGCTGTGCCATGCCCACGCCTCCTCCTGTGCCTTCTCCTGGGGGGCTGTCGCTTGCTCCTCCCGCCACCACTCCCTCACTGCTGCTCCCGCTGTTTTTCCCGGAGGGTGACGAAGCAGCAGCAGCAGCAGCAGCAGCAGCTGGGCCCCTGGGGGAGGATATGGCGGAGGAAGCAGCGGGCGGAATACCGTTACAAGCAGCCGCGGTGGGAGTAGCTAGTCCGTCTGCTGAAGTCCTTTCCCCCTCTCCGCCCACTGCCCCTGGCCCTGGACTGCCCCCACGGCTGCCCCCCCGGCTGCCTCCCTGGCTGCCCCCGTTGCTGCTTCCGCCGCTCTGCGGACTAGAGCTCCGGCTGCGCGGCCCAATGGACAGCGCAGTGCACGCGGATACCGAGGGCTCCCCGCTTCCGCTGCTGCTTTGCGCGCATGGCTTAGCGCTTCGCGAGGGCGGAATTTCCGCGGAAGCGACTGCGACTCCTTTCGGCGCCGCAGCTGCCGCCGCGGACGGGAATCGGCGGAACGAGAGGTCTCCTACTCGCGGCTCGGCCTTGAAGCGGATATGCGCGCGCAGGGGGACGCGGAAGCCGCTTCCCCCGACTCCACTGGATGGCGCTCCGCCCGCGGTAATGGCGGAAGGACAAAACTCGAGCTCCGCAGCTACCGACAAAGACGCATCGCGGGACGACCCGAGCCGGCCGAGCCCCGCCTTCAGCACAAGATGGAGCGACGCGGAATTTCCGCCGGAATCCCCGGCGGCAGCATCCGTAGAATCATCCCGAGGGGCGGCGGAGAGGGCGGGTGCGCGGATGGGGCGGTAGGTGAGGCGGAGGGAGGGACCGGCGGTGAAGGCGGTACCGAGGGAGAGAGAGACGTCGGAAGGCGCGGAGCCGAGAGAACAGCCGGAGAAGAGCGGAAGCGGAAGGCCTAGCAGCGACACGGGCAGTTTAAGGCGGAAGAGCGGACCGCACGGCGAGTGGTGCGAGCCGTCGCCCTGGCGGAATTGTAAGGACGCGCGCATGGGTGCCCGACAGTGGCGGAGGGGGGAAAGAGCAGGAGCGCGGAGAAGAAATAATGATCCGCGCGCGAGTCTGTACGTGTGTACAGGGAGTGCGCCTGTTCCCCTATACTAGCTCCATGTCGTGCCGTCTGCCTGACGACGAGGCGCACGAGCGCATGGGGAGCCTACTAAAGCAAGCCACACTGCGCGAGGAGTAAAGGTGAGGGGAAAGCCACATCGTCGCCTACTAAGACGATTTTACTGCAAAAGTAAAATGTTTGGCTGAAGCCGAGTTCTTGACCTGGCTTACGAGGTGTCGTCTCATGGCTGGCGTGTCGGTGCAAAACTATTTGTCGCAAGAATACACGCTGGTTCGGAACCACGGTGCGGTAGTGTTTTTCTCTGCTTCGGGTTTGCGAATGGCTGGGTACAGTACAATCTGCAAAATTGCATTCCACCAAACCAAACCAAACCCAAGGTGGAGAAACGAGGGCATGGAAATTGGGCAGGAGGCAGGTGAGGGGGGCCTTGGGAAATCCGTCGAGATTGAACTTGGCTTTTGCCGGCGGTGTTCGCCAGCACCTTTTGAAAGCAAAAACGACGGAAAACGACGGGATCAGGAAGGTCAGTCTCGCCTTCCTGATCCCGTCAGTTAGGGTTCGTTAAGCTCCGTCAGGCTGGTCAGCCCGTAAAAATGCTGCCGAGCCTCTCATGCCGTCCGATCCAAATGGAACTTTGGTGCCTGGCGAACGCCCTCACTTTTCTCAAATTTCGGACAGCATCATGGCATTCCGAAATGGGGAAGTGATTTCCTCCCCAGGCAAACGAGAGTCCCATGCCATCCCATGGCAATCCACCATTTCACGGTGGATTGCCGTGGGATGGCGCTGTCATTGGCTGTCAGAGGCTAGAGTGGGAAGGTGGGAAGGCAGGTTCCATATGCGGTTGTCACGTTTCCCATTTGGGGGCCCGAAATTTCGCGAGTGGAATTTCGCCCAAACCTCTTCGGAGGGCTCCGGCCCCGCTTCCCGATGCCGTGGCCATCCCGATGCCGTCATTTTTTTACCAAGTTGCATGTGCTGGCGAACACCGCCGCTGTGTTTTTCCTGTCCAGCTGACCTCGAGGGCGACAGTGCGAGGTGGCGATCGGGCAAATGAACCTCGGCGGCGCAGGCGGGAAAGAAACAAATCCAACGGTCGGCAAGAGGCAGGGTGTGAGCTTTGGGGGTTTGGAAATTGGACATAACACTCATGGCAGGCAACACCCTGTGTAACGGGGTCCCCAATAACGATACAATCTCTTCGGCTCCCTTCTCCCCAGGCGAAACCCTCAACCTCCACTCCACAACAGTCTCTCTGAAAGGAACGAGCAACCCGTGTAGAAGCTAGTTCTGGTTTTGCAGTCACAACTGGTGGGCACATCATGGCTTCCCACCGTCGCGTGATTCTCGGCGGAAGAGGCGCCACGCTAGTGGCCAAGGATGTCTTCGACATTGCGGCGCGCGACTCGCACGTCGAGCTTGACGCCGCCGCCACAGACAAGCTTCAACGGGCATCAGACCCGCTCCTTAAAGCCGCGAAACAAGCCACACCCTCAGCCCCTGCTGTACCGTCCACCGACTCCGCCGCGTCGCACCCGGAGATACTGCGTCGCGAGCAAATGCGCGCAGCGCTCGCCGTTCAGGCGCTGCAGCTGCTAGGAACGGCTGGGATCGCGGCGTCATTGCGGCCGTCCGTCCCGCAGTTCCTCGCGGATCTGCTCAACGCGGGTGGCGATCTCGCGCTTCCCGCGTCCAAAACAGACGCGCCCGTCGTGCAGGCCGTGCAAGACGCCTTGCTCGGTCAAGGATCGGCCGCCACGTGGAACGAGCACGGCACGGCGTCCTTATCGTCACTTGACGACGCGTTCAAAGCAGCCGTCGTGCCCGCGGCGAGCGGTAAAGCCGCGGAAGCGACCACGGGTCTCAATTCCCCGTCCTTGTACGAGCACGAGGCGCCCGCCTTTCAGACAAGCACGGCGGCATCGGTGGGCGTGGCGGCTGTAGCGGTGCACGCCGCGTCGTCGCTGGTGGCTGTAGCGGACGCGGTCGCGGCTTTCTCCTGCGAGGCGCTCCGAGCCAACGTGGCGGAAATGCTGGACGCGGACACGACGGAGGGCTCGCACAAGGCGCAAGCGGAAGTGGCGGGCGACATGCGCGCGCTTTTGGCAGGATCGAAGTGCGTCAATCCGCGCAAAGACGCAGCGAATCTGCTCGCCGTGCGCGGCATTCCGCAGTGCCACGGACCGCTCAGGGAGGCCGTTAAGACCGCCGCCAGCGCCGTGCGCGTCGAGCTCAACTGCGGCGGCGAGAGTGGTGCAGCTGGCGGCGCTGAAGGCGGAGGGAAGGGCAAGAGCGGCGCGGCGGCTGGTACGCGTCTGCATGTGCCGTCGGTGCTGGTAGCGGGCCACGTCGCGTCGCTTCTCCGCGCGCTCTGTCCGCTCGGCGCCTGCAGCGTCCGCCGCATCTCTGCAATGGTCGCGGCGCTGTCGTCGTTGCAGCCGCCACCAGCAGCAGCGGCGCCAGATGCGGTACCTGCCGACGCGGCCGTGCGCGCTGCTGACGGTGGAGCAGCCCCTACCGCGCCAGAGCACGCGGGAGGCGCGGCGGGTGAGGTGGCGTACGCGTTAGTGACGGCGCAGGAGACTGTCGATGCTGCCAAGGTGACAGCGGGTGACGTAGCGCAGGCGGTCGCGGCGGCTGACCCGCTAGGCGCGGAAGAGGAAGGGGCAGCGGGCGCGGCGGGCGGGACGGCGGCTGGACGCGGGAGAGAGCGCGGGGCGCGGGATGACGGCGTGCCCGCGCTGATGGCGGCGCGCGCAGCGCTGGCGACGGTGGAGGCGCTGCGGATGGTGCTGGCGCTGGAAGCCGTGGCGGCTCTGCGGCTGCTGCGCGCGCGCGAGGCGGCGCTGGCAGCGCGCACGGGGGGAGGGAAGGCTCCGAAAAAGGAAGACGCGAAGGCGGCGGACGGCGCAGCGGAGGGGCGGAAGGTGGGGAAAGAGAAGGAGGGCGGAAAGGACAAAAAGGGGAAGGGGGGCGGAGGCGGAGAGCTGGCGCTGGGGCGCGGAACGGCCGTGTTGGCGGCCTTCTTGGACGGGATCGTGGGCACAGCGCAAGACAAGGCCGGGGGGGGCGGCAGTGCCGCGGGCGCGGATGCGGGGGTTGTGGCGGTGGTGGGCGCGGTGGAGCGCGTGGCGGTGGCGCTGGACCCGCGCGGCGATGAGGTGGCGCAGCTGGAAGGCGCGCTGCGAGGCGCCATTGAAAGCAACGAGTCGAGGCGCGCGCCTAAGATAGCCAAGGTGGGAAGGGGCACTGACTCTTCCTCGCCTCCCAAACGGCAACCCCACTCCCCCACTCCTTTCCCCCCCTCTCTCTCTCTCGGCTGCTGCCCTCCTCTTCCCGTTGCACACTGCCCAGTGCTCTCTGCCGCCGTCGGCAGTGCTCTCTTCCTCTTTTCCGACCCCGCTCCCCACCACCTTCCCCTTCACTTCCCACTTCCCGCTCCTCCCCTCTCCCCCCATCCCCTCCCTCCGCGCGCCATCCCCCAGGGCACGCGCGACTTCCTGCCGGACCAGATGGCGATCCGCGAGCGCGCGTTCGCGATAATCGCGGCGGTGTTCAAGCGGCACGGCGCGGTGGCGCTTGACACGCCCGTGTTCGAGCTGCGCGAGACGCTCATGGGCAAGTACGGCGAGGACTCCAAGCTCATCTACGACCTCGCCGACCAGGTACCAACCGCCAGCATCAACCGCCATTATCAAACGCGTTTCATCAAAACCAACGCTGCGTGACGCCCCTCGCGAGTGACTCGTTTCCGTGACATCATCGCCTCTCATGCTGCGCTCTCCTCCGCCGTCCCCACCCCCCACATCCCCTCCCTCCGCTCCCGCACTCCTTCCCCTTCGCCTCCCCCTCCCTCCGCTCCCGCACTCCTTCCCCTTCGCCTCCCCTCTTTTCCCCCTCCCTCCGCACTCCCACCTTCCTCGCAAACCCCCTTCCCTTCCCTTACACCTCCGCCACCCCCACACTCCCCCCGTGCGCGCAGGGCGGGGAGATCCTGTCGCTGCGGTACGACCTGACGGTGCCGTTCGCGCGGTACCTGGCGATGCACAGCGTGGGCAACATCAAGCGCTACCACGTCGCGCGCGTCTACCGCCGCGACAACCCCCAGATGAACCGCGGCCGGTGCGAGTGGGGAGGGGGAGGGGGAGGGCTGGGAGGGGGAGGGCTGAGGGAATAAGGAGTTGGGAGGGGAAAGGATGGGTGCAGAAGGGAAGGGGGGGAGAGAGGCGCAGGAGGGAATGGGTTGGGTGGGGGGCTTGATGCGCGGCTCTAGTAAAGAAGCAGCATGCTCGCACGTTTAAGAGTGCCGTGCACTGCACGCGCCCTCAAGTCCCAAACCAGCTCGCCACTGGCATGTTGTCATACCCCGGTTCCCTCTACCTCTTCCCGCTTCTTCCTTTCCTGCGCATCGTCTCCTTGCTCTTGGAGCGGTTTTGGACAATTCTCAAAAACTACCAGCCACACAAGTGCCTCGAGCCACACAAGTGCCTCGAGCCACACAAGTGCCTCGAGCCGGTCGTGGCACTGCCTACTCCGTGGGCCAGCTACCGAACCAATGTCCGCATGTGCTTTCCATCCCAGGGGCCCATGCCGAGTTTGGTTATCCTTGCGCTTTGACTGGGCGGCCATGGCATGCCATGCCGCCCCATGAAGACGCAACCCATGCCACCCGCTAATTATGGCACCTGAGGCCCCTGGTTGAGTTACTGGGATCTTGCTGCGCCAGTTGATCCGCCTTGTCCATTTCTTCCTGGATCCACTTTTAATCAGTCGCCTGCCCTTGCGCTGCATGTTGTTGCTTCAGCGCTTCAACCCTCGAGGATGTTTGACGTCTCTGTTGCTCCTCCATACCCTCTTTTTCCCCGTTTCCCTTACCCAGTTTTCCCCATCTTCCTACCCCTTTCTCGGCCATGTATACCTCTTTCCTAGCCCTCCTCTTCCATCCCCTTGTCTGCTGCAAGACCTTCCCCCAACCCCCCCTTCCCCTTTTCTTTCGCACCCTCTTCCTTCCCTCACCACCTCCTCTCCTCAACCCCTCTTCCCGTTCCCCCCTCTCTGTCCCCTCCCTCCTATCCCCCCATCTCTTCCCAACCCCACTTCTCCTCCTCCCCCCTCCCCTCCCGCCCTTCCTCTCCCCCTTCTCTCTGCGCGTGCAGGTACCGCGAGTTCTACCAGTGCGACTTTGACATAGCGGGGCAGTACGCGCCCATGGTGCCGGACGCCGAGGTCGTCAAGGTGCTCACGGAGCTGCTGGACGAGCTCGCCATCGGGGACTATGAGGTGCATGGGGTGCAGGGGGGTGCAGGGGGGTGCAGGGAGGTGCCATGGGGTGCATGTGGGACAGGCTGGGGGTTTTTGGTTCTGCGTTGAGGGTTTGGGGGCTTAGAGGGAGGTGTTGGAGGATGTCGGCATGGGGGACGAACGGGTGCGTGCTTTGCAGCACGGGCCGGTGACTGTGAGGTGAGGCACATCTGCCTGCACTGGCACACACACACCCACACCCACACTGCTGCCTTCCCATCCTTCCTGTCCACCCCCCTGTTTCCAAGAACCTTTCTAGTCGTTCCCGTCCCCCTGCCTTCCGCCCTCGCGCCGCCCTGCTCTCCACCCTCTGTGCTGCCCATCTTTACCATCGAACCAAACCAATTTAAGCTCAAATCAAACGAGGTTAACCACTCACATTCTTGACTCCACCCATCCATCTGTTCTCCCCTCCGTCTCCTCCCCTCTTCCCTCCCCCCAACCCCTCCCCGCCCCTCCGTGCTTCCCAAACCCCCTCCTCTCTTTCCTCCTGCCCCTCCCCCGTGCAGATAAAGCTGAACCACCGCGGGCTGCTGGACGGCATGCTGGCCATCTGCGGCGTGCCGGGGTCCAAGTTCCGCGCCATCTGCTCTGCTGTCGACAAGCTCGACAAGGAGCCCTGGGAGGCCGTGCGCACCGAAATGGTACTCGCTGCTGCGGGGATGAGAGGGGGGAGGAGGGGGTTGGGGGGAGAGGGAGAAGGGGTTTTGGCATGGAAAGCCAGGATGGGAGAGAGGGCATGGGGGGGTGGGGGTGGGGAAGTGGAGTCTGGTCGATTATTGGGCCAAGTCAGAAGCTCGTGTCGGTATGTGTGTGTGTGTGTGTGCTACATGTTGCTTGCCGTAGTCCAGTGCATGTTCTTTTTCTGCCTGGGGCCAATGACGAGTTTGGTTATCCTTGCGCTTTGACTGGGCGGCCATGGCACGCCATGCCGCCCCATGAAGACGCAACCCATGCCACCCGCTAATCATGGCACCTGAGGCCCCTGGCAACACGCCATACTCTCCCTGTTTTCTCTCTTTTACTCGTCTTCCAATCTCTCTGCCTGAACCATCGCTTCCCCTCCATACCACACCCTCCCACATTCCCCTCACCTCTGCTTGTCTTGACTCACCCCCTCCGTAACTCTCATCACCTACATGTTGCTCGTATCTTGCTATTCTTCTCAATAACCTCCTTTCCTCCCCTCTCCCCCTCCCCCCCCCCCCCTCCCCCCCTTGCACCTGGTACCCCTCTCACACCTCTGTCCCACCAGATAGAGGAGAAGGGGCTGCTCCCAGAGGTAGCAGACCGCATAGGCGATTTCGTCAAGCACAAGGGCGAGCCGCACCACCTGCTCGCCACACTCCAGGCGCCCGACTCGCCCTTCGCCGGCCACGCTGACTCGCAGGCGGCGCTCGCTGAGCTGGCGCTGCTGTTTGACTACCTGGCGGCCATGGGCGGCGCAGTGCGGCGGGTGGTGTTTGACCTGTCGCTGGCGCGCGGGCTGGACTATTACACGGGGGTCATCTATGAGGCCGTGCTCAAGGGCGGCAGCACTGTGAGTGCCTTTGAACTTGTGTAGTGAACTTGACTGTGTGGGGAATGGGTGTGGGTTGGTTGGCTGGCTGGCATCGGAAACGTGGGCAAGATGTGTGTGTGGCTCCCTGCCAAGGGTTTTGAGCCAGGTTGTTTCGCCACTGTTGCACTACTATAAGGAAGGAGGTGGGACTGTGGTGGAACTGCACAGTGGCCTCGCGGTGCAACCGTCACTAGTAGCATCTGCCACAGCATCCGCCCATACCATTACCCACTCACAAGCATGCCCCCTGTCTCTCTCTCCCTCCATCCCTCTGCTGCCTGTGTGGGAGCAGGTGGGGTCCATAGCAGCGGGGGGGCGGTACGACAACCTGGTGGGCATGTTCAGTGGCAAGCAGGTACCGGCGGTGGGTGTGAGCCTGGGCATTGAGCGCGTGTTCACCATCATGGAGGAGCAGGAGAGGAAGAAGAACCAGGTAAGGGTCGTGTTCAGTACCCACTGCACCCACTCGGTACCTTGTACCACCGCACTGCACCGTTTCTTCTTCCTTGTTTCCAATATGGATCTATGCTACCAACCCAATACAGATATACCTCCGTGGCTCTGCCAACCCGACACTCCCCTTCCCTCCCTCCACCACCACCATCTCCCTCCACCCCACTTACCGCCCTTCTCTCCCCCCGCCACCTCTCTCTCTCCTCCCCATCTCATTCCCGCAGCTCATCCGAGCCACGGAGACGCAGGTGCTGGTGGCGAGCATCGGGCCGGACCTGCTGCGCACGCGCATGGAGATCGCCTCCGCACTCTGGGCCGAGGGCGTGAAGGCCGAGTTTGTGCTTGCCGCCTCGCCCAACATGCAGCGCCAGCTGGAGTTTGCCAACAAGGCAGGCATCCCCTGGATGGTCATCTTTGGGTCTGCTGAGCTGGACAAGGGCACTGTGAAGGTGAAGGACTTGGAGCGCAGGGAGGAGGAGGAGGTGACTCGAGCCAGTCTCATTTTGTACCTCAAGAGGAAGCTTGGCTTGGTGCATGGCAGGGTGGAGGTTGTAGATGGTGTTGTGGGTGAGGGTGCTGCTGCTGCGGCTGCTGCCGGTGCTGCTCCTGCGCAATAGCTATACTGTTCTGTGGTTTGCGATAGCAAGATTGATGGTGTTTGTGATGGATGGGTCTTTATGCAGTTGTAGCTTCAGCCTTAAAGCTGGGAAGATGGAATTTTTGCCCCACGTTGTGGGGATTGTGCTAGACGCCGTCCCTTGCAAATGTGCTTGCAGCCCTGCTCATTGTTTTTGGCTAGAGAAACGTTATACTTTACCACATACCGTGCTTAGGAAGCGGGCACTTCATCGATTTTGGAGATTGATCCTGCCGCAGGATCGTATTTTGACGTGTTTTAAAAAGGTCAGAAAAATGTTTGCAGGTTTGTGCGGTAGCAGATCGATATTGCACGATCGATCGCCGAACTTGATGCGAGTGTCTGCGTCATGGACTGCATGTGGTGACTTCAATTCAATTACTAGCTAAGGACGTGTTACGGTTTGCCTCTGATCTGTTGGGCTGAGAAAAGCCCTTAGGATCTTTGCAAGGCTAACTCATAGTAGAAGTGTTGTAGTTGCGGAAGCGTTTTAATGATAAGTATTGAACCACCTTGCGCTAGTATTGTCAAGAATAGAACTAGGAATGAATGATTGAACTAGGCAAGAGGTGAGTACAAGTAGAGGAAACCTAGCCCTAAAGTGTTGTACTCACTAAGGAGTGACCCTACTGTAGCCTAGAGATACAATTGTAATCTGACACACCCCCATAGGCAAAGTAGGGGACAGCAAACACAACAAGCGGTCACAAGACCAGTCTGCAGAAGAGAACACAGCTCAGGGTGGATCACAAAGTCACCACGCATTCTGAGCACAAGCAAGTGGCCACAAGGCCAGTTCACATGCAGAGGTATATAATAGCAAGGCAGTACACTGATCACAACCTAGCAAGAGAAAACATGCAGGTATAAAGATATATAGCAGTGTACAACAAGAGCAAGTCAAGCAACCAACAGGTGAGGCAGAGTGGACACAAGCCCAAGAGCAGTGCAGAAACGGTGATGATCACCAGACCCAAGGGCCTTGGTGAAGACATCAGCAGTGTTGGCCCGAGAGGCCACGTAAGCAAGGCGCAGCTGACCACGCTGCTGCAGCTCACGCGCAAGGAAGTAGCGAAGAGCAATGTGCTTCGTTCTATGCTCCAGTCTCTACTCGCGACACAAGGCAAGCATTGCCTTGTTGTCGACGTACAGAACTGGAGGAGAACGAGGCCGCTCCCCCAAGTCGGTCAGCAGGTAGGTCAGCCAGCGTAGCTCCTGTGCAGCCATGGCCCCAGCGTAGATCTCGGCCTCACAGCTGGAACCAAGCACAGAAGAAGAACGAGTGGACCTCCACGAGACAGAACCAGAGCCAAGACTGAAGGTGTAACCCTGTGACGAACGCTGAGTCGTCTGGTCGTCGGCCCAAGAAGCGTCAGAGTGTCCTGTGAGGACCACCGAACCCCGTCCTCCAAGCACGAGCCCCATGCCCGATGTGCTGCACAAGTAACGCAGTACCCTCTTCGCAACATCAAAGTGCACCTTTCGGTGTCGACCAGGTGCCACGTAGCGAGCCAGGAGGCTGAGAGGGTACGCGAGGTCAGGTCGTGTGCACGTCATCAGGTACATGAGGCAACCCACAAGCTCTGGGTACGGACCACTCGGCTCTACAGACTCGTCCGAAGGTGGAGCTGAGAGCGAGTGGCCGGTAGACAGAGGAGTGGGCTGTGGCGAGGACCAAGTGAAGCGGAAGCGCTGAAGGACCTGGTGCACCATGTGTGACTGAGTGAGGGTGATGGTGCGCCGTGGTCTGTCCCGGGTGATCTGCAAGCCAAGATAGCTCCGCAGCTCACCCAGGTCAGTGCAGGTGTGTCTCTCCTGCAGCTCCGCCTTCACCAGGGCCAGTGCCTCAGTGTCAGCAGTAGCAAAAACCAAGTCGTCGACGTACACGAGGATGTAGAACGGCGGCAGAGTAGTGTCGGTGCGGAGAAACAGCGACGGGTCAGCAGTCGAAGGAGCAAACCCAAGAGCCGCAAGTGTCGTCCTCAGTGTGTCGTGCCACTCACGGGGCGCCTGACGCATGCCGTACACTGGTCGCCGTAGGCTCCACTGGGTACCCTCAGGAAACGACCTAGTGAAGCCCTTTGGACGGCGCAACCAGATCGCCTCGTGAAGGCTACCCTGCAAGAAAGCTGTCGAGAAGTCGAGGGAGTGCAGCTCGTAGTCACGCTGAGCTGCAACGTGTAGCAACACCCGAAGAGTGGTCATCTTCGGGGTGGGGGAGAAGGTCTGAAAGAAGTCGACCCCCTCACGCTGAATGAAGCCTCGAGCAACGTAACGTGCCTTGAAGGCAGGCGGAGAACCCGACGGCCGCTTCACCCTGAAAATCCACATGCCACTGACGATGTTCGCCCCAGGTGGGGGAACCTCGTTGACGTAGGTGCCTGTGGACTTCCAGGAAGCCATCTCTGCGTCCATGGCTGTCTGCCACTGAGAGGAGTACTCACCCGAAATCGCCTCCCTGTAGGAGCGCGGGGTGGGGATGTCAAGTGCATCCGGGTCTCCATCAGGGGCAAGCAGCATGGTCGCGTGATGGGGTGAAGCGGCAGCAAGACACTCCAGCTCCTCCTGTCTGTCCTCAAGAACGTCACAGCCAAGGGCAGTACAGCCAAGAGCAGTCTCACCCCCGACGGACGGAGGACAGGCAGGGACAGGGTCAGAGACAAGACTCGCAAGGTAGTCTAGGCGGTACACAGCAGCAAAGTCAACGAGCTCAGCTACTAGGGCAGACGCAGCAGGAGACGAGAACGTAGGGTCCGTCACAACCGTAGCAAGAAGGCGAGTAACAGTCGGACTGGACGCACGAGCAAGGTCAGACGGAGGGTCAGCAACGTCAGGCAGAGAGGACGCAGGAGGTAACGGTAGTACAACACACTGAGGAACAGAGGAATGACGGAGTGTCATATCGTGAGTGCCTGGGACAGCCGGAGCACGCGGACGACGAACACGAGGAACACGAGCACGGACAGCAGCTCTAGGCTCAGGCTCAAGGTCAAAGCTAGACTCAGGCTCTCCACGCTCAGGGGTGGAAGCACGAGTCTCAGGCTCTCGACGCTCAGTCAGGGACTCTGACACCGCAGTGTAAGGAGCAGGAGCAGGTAGTGGGGAGTGTGGTAGCAGCGGTGGCTGTGACTGGTCCACTGACGAACACAGCAACGGAGGAGTAGTACCTGCCACAGGGAAGCCAGTAGCACCTGGCGGAAGACTGAGAAGGTGGCGAAGAGCACCAGCAGCTCCCGTACCTCCAGCACGAGCAGCTCCTCCAGTACCCCCAGCAACACCTCCAGCACCAGTAGCACCAGCACCTCCAGCACCACGAGCTCCGACAGCGCCAGCACCTCGAGCACCAGTAGTACCTCCAGCACCTCCAGTGCCTCCAGCTCCAGCTCCAGCGCCTCCAGCACCAGTAGTACCTCCAGTACCTCCCGTGCCAGCAGCTCCAGTAGCACCTCCAGCACCTCCAGCACCAGCAGCACCACCTGCTCCGGCAGCTCCAGCACCTCCAGTACGAGCACCTCCGGGACCAGTAGCTCCAGCACCTCCAGTACCTCCAGCACCAGCACCTCCAGGGTCAGCACCTCCAGCACCTCCAGCACCAGCAGCAGCTCCAGTACCCCCAGCACCAGCAGCACCTCTAGTACCTCCAGTAGTACCTCCAGCACCTCCAGCACCAGCAGCACCTCCTGGACTAGTAGCTCCAGCACCAGCCGGACCGTACCCTCCACCACCAGGACTGCCTCGCCGAACGACCCACGCACGAATCACCTGCGGCGAGAGCGTCTCAAGTAGAGCAGGATGCGGTGGCTATGCAGCTCCAGTACCTCCAGTAGTGGTAGCTCTAGCACCTCCAGCACCAGAAGTACCTCTAGTACCCCCAGCTCCAGCACCTCCAGCACCAGCAGCAGCTCTAGTACCTCCAGTAGTACCTCCAGGCCTAGTAGCTCCAGTACCTCCAGCTCCAGGACTTCCAGAATGACTCGCAGCACCCCCAGAGTCAGCACCCGAAGTCTCAACACCCCCAGAGTCAGCACCCAAAGTCTCAGTACCCCCAGGCTCAGTACCCTCAGGCTCAGTACCCTCAGTCCCAGCACCCGCAGGCTCAGTGCCCTCAGTCCCAGCACCCGCAGGCTCAGTGTTCTCAGTCCCAGCACCCGCAGGCTCAGTACACTCAGTCCCAGCACCCGCATGCTCAGTACGCTCAGTCTCAGCTCCAGTGTCCACTGCAGAAGGCTGCAGAGGCGGGAAACCGGGGGGGGTAGCCAAACGAGGAGAGCAGTCACCCCCAGACGTACCACTCCCAGGCCCAGCTCCAGCAGCCTCAGCTCCAGAGTCCACAGCAGCAGGCTGCGGAGGTGGCGAAGACGGCCGAGGCGGGAAACCCGGGGGGGTCTCCAAGCGAGGAGTGTGGCGAGTGGTCGCCGTGTCGTCGGCGACGGCGTCACCCCCCTCAGCTGAGTCAGAGGAGTCAGAAGAGATCTCAACTGGCTCATCCAAGGGGGGTGGGTCTACCTGGGACACACCTGAGGGAGCAGGACCCTGTGGGGGAAGGGGGTCTACCGGGGGGGGGACTGGTACCAGGAAGAGAGGCGCGAGGGGGACCGGGTGGGACGCGTGTGGGTGAAGTCGGTAGTAACAGACCGACTCGTCGAAGGTGACGTCCTGAGAGGACAGAACACGACGCGAGGCAGGGTGGTAGAACTGCCAGGGTGGAGCGTCGGTGGGGAAGCCCAGGAAGACACAGCGGAGAGTGTGAGGAGAGAGCTTGCTCGCTTTGGTATCGCGAACAAGGGAGAGCGCGCCCCAGACCCGAAACGACGACGCATCACCAGGCTGTCCCGTCCAACGGAGTGTGGGCGAGGTCTCTGGAGCAGAGACACGGGGCCAGAGGTTGAGCTGATGCGCGGCGTATCGGACCGCAAACGGCCACAGGAAATGGGGAGCAGCCGCATGGATCATGGAGGTACGAGCAACCTCCATGATCAG